CACTTGAGGAATTACATTTAAAGTGTAGAAATTGAACCTGGCTTATCCATTAGAACATAGTCTGGTTTTATTAATTTTTATTAGGAGTTAAGTTTACTCCAAAGGTTATGTATGCATTATACACAGGCACTTGGAAACAGATAGCCACTTAGAATGCATGGCTAGGAACTGTGTCACTTAGACCGAAAAACTATTATATTTTTATCTTTTTCACAAGAACTCAATGGAAGAAATACTTATATGCTAGGTAGTTTGCATAGGTGTAGGTGGATTGGAAGGGGAACAAATATTTGGTGTTGAAAATAGTTTTTATGACTTACTAAATAATGCAATGAAAGGGTTGCATTACGGCTCTTATGGTTAACGAAAATGGTGGGGTAGCCTAGTGGTTAGAGCGTTTACTCATCAGACCGAAGACCGGGGTTTGATTCCCTACATGGGTACAAAGTGTGAAGCCCATTTCTGGTGATATTGTGGGAATATTGCTGGGACAGCATATAACTAAACTCACTCTCAAGGGTTAACAGGCGGTGGGGTAGCCTAATGGTTAAAGCGTTCGCTCATCCGCCCAAAGGTCAGGGTTTGATTCCCTATATGGGTACAATGTGTGAAGCCCATTTCTGGTGTAACCCATGGGATATTACTGGAATATTGCTAAAAAAGCGATGTAAAACCATTCTCACTCAGAAATGCAAGAAATATATTTCTGTCCTTTGCATGGTGGACGTGGTAACCACAGCTGTCCAACTCACAAACAGCTGTTGGTCTATTATGTTGGATGATTAAAGGCTGGTGTTGTGTAGAGAATATCAATGTCTGGCATACTGATGCCCAACAGCCACGTGTCTGTTGAGAGCTGTAGGAGTGGACTGTGGACCGAAATTGATCGAGACTTCTCCAGGTGGAGTGTAGAAGGACCTGTTGAATGATGAATGAATGAATGCAAGTGGGAATTTGCATCTTTAATTATTGGGTAGTATTTGTCGGTACATAGAGGTTAGACGTCTAAATGCTGCACATCTGCGAGAGCTCATGCTGCAACTTTGTGCTCTAGTGAAGGACTCCTTGGCAAAATGGTCTTCGTCTTATATTAATGTATTCATTACCTAAACTTGATTTTAGTTATTTCTAACTGATGATAAACAACTTCACTTTGGGTCTTATATAGCTTAACATAATATGAAAAGTGCCATAGGCAGTAAACGATTTCACAGTTTTTCAAACTGTTTCAGGCGAAAGGGTAGGTTCAGCTATCAGCTCAGTCTATTTTGACTGATGTGTGGTGGCTAAAAGCGTTATTGACAGTAGGTCCTTGTGTGAGTGAGTGAGATTTAGTTCTAGGACACTTTTAGCAATATTCCAGCAATATCACATGGGGGAACACCAGAAATGGGCTTCACACTATGTAACCATATAGGAATCGAACCCGTGTCTTCAGCGTGACGAGCAAACCCTTTAACCACTAGGCTACCTTGCCACCCAGGTCCTTGGATAATCTGTGTAACCTTAAAACAAGGTAAAGAATAGCAAATTCTTTTTCTTACTGTAATAAAATCTGACATAGTAACATGAAAGAGTCAGGTGTTCCATCACTTACTGTGAGTCGTGAGGGATATACTGGTATGAGTGAGTGAGTTTAGTTTTACGCCGCACTCACCAATATTCCAGCTATATGGCGGCGGTCTGTAAATATTCGAGTCTGGACCAGACAGTCCAGTGATCAACAGCATGAGCATCGATCTGCGCAATTGGAACCGATGACATGTGTCAACCAAGTCAGCAAGCCTGACCACCCGATCCCGTTAGTTGCCTCTTACGACAAGCATGGGTTACTGAAGATCAATATTTTAACCCCGACCTTCAAGATTGTATATATACTGGTATGAACTATGGCTAGGTAATCAGGAATGCTGTGTTAATGCTAGTTCACCTTAAGGTGCAAGAATGTATTTAATTGCAACCAAAAGTTCTGTCGGGCCTGTATATGCAAGTCCTGGTCGACAAGTAAAACCATTCTTGTGTCAAGCCATTGTGATAAAAGGATATTTTGTTAAACAGATCATTGGAAATGTCAATGAGTACGGCAGGACCAGTCTTCTGGCGGACATAAGCCAGGAATAAGCTGTGTTTCTAGGTCTCTGTTTAGTGGGTGCTTCATTGAGATCCTCAGTGTTAATGGGAGACAGTAAATGTCAGCCATGTTCCAGCCTGACATTCACAGCTAGGAAATCAATACATAGAAACAGTGAGGGAGTAATGGTAGCGACACAAGGCTGTGTGGCCTGCCCAGTTGTAGTGTGCCCAAGATTGTCGTCTCTGGAGCCATTACAGCACACTGGAAGATGAAGGCTTGTGGGAAGGGGACCTTAATGTGTTGGGGGAAGCATCAAGTTTTGAGATTCACTGAACTGCAGGTGCTGGCAATCATTACGTCCCATGTGCAGATGATGTAATGTCAAAGTGGCATCCCTGAGATCAGCTTGCAACATCATTTGAAGTTTCATGACACTTAACATGGTGCTTTGGTGCCTTGGGAAAATGATAGGCTACTTATGAGGGATTGTATTTAGATCAGCACTTGACATTAGTATTTAAGCTTAAAAGCAATATTTTTCTTCCAATTTAATTTGATTAGTGTCATATTCTTGAAATGTAAGTAATGAATGTGCCTCAAAAGGACTTGGCAATGAGAAGCTACTGACACCTTTGACATTTCATCTCATTTTAGAACAGAAAGAAGATTGTATTTCAATCATGATGGTCACATCAATAAACTAGTCTGTAACTTTGTCAGCCAATAATGTGTAATTTAAGAGTGAAATTAGATATATTTGCCATCTACATTTTTATTACATTAGGAGAGGCAAGTCGTTATTAAAAGCATCAATGTTCACTTATTCAAAAGAAAACCTGAACAAAAATTAAAAATATCATTTGCAGTACTTTTTCACTGGAATATTGGGGGATTTCTTTCCAGTAGAAAGTTTCATGTATTTTAACTGAATTTATTGCCAGCTATAAGAGCTGTTCCCATTAAGCTCTACAGTAAAATATCTAAACAGTCCTTAATGTACGTAGAACAGTCAGGGTCAGTATTGCTGAATGTGTTTCGTCCATGTAATCAAATATAGAAGTAGTCCTTTAAATCCATGTGTTTGTTTTGTAAATGTTTCCTTCAGTGGGTCATTTCTCAATTTGACAGGATACTGCTTAATTTCAGTATTATGCTGAAACCAAGTCACAACAGAATCCCCATCGATCGTGATAGCCATGACAGAAGCACACTTGTTCCCAAAGTTGTCTCGAGTTTTTCAATGGCATACCTGGGTTAAACTATACATCATATGTATTTATGAGATTCCCACAACGTAAGCAAATAACATGGGTTGGGCAAGTACAGCTTCCTTGCCCTAGGTGATGATCTGAATGTAGTTTTCATTCAGAGGAGTGTTAGTAAGCTCTGTGTCCATTATATAAACAAGACTCCAAATACCAGTACGGTTCCATCAGCGTTGACTGGATCTGTGTTCCCCATGTTTCAACAAGCTGAACGTGCTACAAGAACCACATTCTTCACATGTACAGCAATGTGGTGAGCTCTCTCACGACTGAGTGTCATTGCTTGTAGTACAGTCAAGACCTTGAATCGGTGCCAGAATGAGGCTGGTAGGAAGTGGGATTGTACACATGGTTCATGTTTACCAAACCCTCTTCATCCTCCCTCCATCTGCTTCATGGCGTCTGCTTTCATACCGAACAAGACGCCTCACCTTTCGACTGAATAAATTAGGTTAAGGAATGACAACTGGATATATAAATATAAATGTGTATTTCCAGCAACGAATAAAAAAGTTCTTTACATTAACTTTTTGACACATCTAGTCTTCACAAAAACTCGTCAAAATTATTTTCAGAAAATCAGACTTATGTTTACCAACCAGTGGTGTTAGCACATAGTGATTGTCACTCTCATACTGTAACATAGGCTTATGAAAGTGATAGCTCTAAGATCTTCTTGTGGTGTGGCCCCAGTTTCTATTGGCGTTTTAGCAAAAACGAAGTATTTTGTTTTAGCCGAATCCATTAAGAGCTGAAGCCAGATGCCCAGGCTGATGTTGCCTGGATCATGAGGAGCATCTGTCTGGAAATAAAGATATTCGGATTAGGAATGCATGTTCCAGGCATGTGGTTTGTGTCTGTGGGAAACATGATATGTATGAAGATGGATATATATTTGTGTGGCGAGAGAAGGCTAGTGCTGTGAGTGGCTGGGAACAGTTTGATGTGGTTTACACACAACCTGCTGAGAGGACACAGAGGTCATCAGTGGCTTGTATCAGCAACACTTACAACATGTAATTAGCTTGAGTGGCATGGGGGTGGTTCTGGGGATTAAAGGAGATAGGCTGCAGTATGGCAGTATCTACTAACATAATCACCACCCCTGCAGTGCAAGACCCTTCAGTGAACTGGATACTTTCGGTTGTTTGTTTGGGAAATACTTACTGGTTGTTCTGCAAGGACATGTTTTTGCTAAGACCAAATATAAAAAATGGTTTGGTTCCGATTACACCTCTTTAAAATTTAGGGTAGGTAGGTAGGATTGGTTTGTTTTTTTTGGGGGGGGGTTACATTTTATTTTATTTTAGAAGTAAAGTACGAACGAATAACACATTTATCAATGTGTAATTATTTATTCATACAAGCTTGCAGTCATCATGTCTACTTTCTCTATAAGAATGACCGATGCCTGTTGATGCCGGAGAAAAACAATGGTATCTGAAAGCTTATTCTATTCCTACCACTTAAGAAAACATAGGGTCGGGACCAGAATTCAAGGGTAGGTCGGGTAATTGGAACCACAACATTTTTTAGGCCTAATTGACATGTTGCATGTGTCACATTGGGTGGCAACTAAGTACATGTATGTCCTAGTGGAACCATATGACCCTATGTCTCATATATCATCATACTTTCATGTTTTTATTTATGTCTTGCAGAATTCAAAGAGGCCTTCAGCCTTTTCGACAAAGACGGCGATGGCACCATCACAACCAAAGAGTTGGGAACCGTCATGAGGTCACTAGGTCAGAACCCAACAGAGGCAGAGTTGCAAGACATGATCAACGAAGTAGATGCTGATGGTATGTCCATTAACACTCATTAGAGTCAAACAAGTAGAACCTTGTTTGAAAAGTCACCATCTCAATCACTGAAGCACCATCCCAAGGCAACGAAGTGTAGCGACAATTATAGACAAGTTTCCATACATACCAAACAAGGTTGTAGTTTCAGAGTAGTATTTTGCCTGGAGTATGGAATCTATGCACAAGCCACCTCGGAAGTTGTGAAATGACGTACTATGCTGATTTCAGTTGATTGTAGGTCTTTCAAAGTATGTGTACCTTCAACTAGGTGCTGTGAGATATTTTCCAAGTAGTTTCTTGTTTTAATTACGGGGTTTGATGTGCTTCTAAGTGAGGTAAGCCTTGTGGATAAAATCTTGATTGTTGTTAAGATTGTCTTGATCTGCAGAGACGTCTTATTTGGACCAAATGCAGGTGACCTGAGAGGTGTAATTTGACCGGCTAGTAGGATGGACATAACTTTATGATAAAGCCAGGATATTCCAGCTGAATTCTGCACGGGTGAAAAACAGACTTTTAAGTTGTTGCTGCAGCTTAAAAACAACTTCAAGGTTGTTGTACATAAAATAACATATGATACACACTCGCTATTATGGTTCATTATGCATACAAAGAGTGGTTAATGTTGCATGGTGCTAGAGAGAGAGAGAGTTTTATTCAGTAAAGGGGCCACAGGCCCATTATACATCAGGTGTACAGAATATACAATCATTAGAGCACAACATGATGAGAGCTGCACAATTATACATTTGTGGGTACGAAGACTGAAAGAAATTTATTTTGTTTTGGGTTTTTTTCATGGCAAAAAAATCGATATTTGCAAGACAATTTATAATATAAGTATTCTTTGATGTAAACAACTGAGCTAATTTAGCTAGTAGTTAATGTTGCATAGAGCTGGTGGTACGAGGCGATGACAACTGACATGCATCGTGACATCTATTACATTGTGACGTAATGTAAAATGGTTCAATTACGAGGGGGCGCACTAGAATGGCGCAGTGACGGGATAACGTCATTCAGTTGTTACGTCATCAAAAAAGCTATACCTTTTTTGTCTGATAATGTATCCTCTCTCTCTTTTTTTATTGTTCTAACCGCTAGGCATCTTAGAATGTTGCAAAGAGCTGGTGGTTAAGGTTATAAATGAGTCGTGTATATCATTGTAACTAGTATTATTATACAGTAGAGTTTGTACCATCTTGTTATGAGTGAGAGGCAGTATCTTTCATTGGTAGATATTGTAACCTGATGGTAGGTTTAGAAAGTATGCCTGTGTGTACATGCGTAGGGAATCTTGGTGAAAGGTGGAAATTATTCTGACAGCACTTCATGCTGAAGTCAGCTGAAATGTGGATTTGGTGGTTAGATCGTGTAACTTGACTCATCGTGGTCAGACTGTGACTTGTTATATTGTGGACCAGGACGTCGCACTCTGAGATTGCATGCCATGATACCGGAATGGCATTGGACATTGATTATGATTTCAGTGACTGTTTACCTGTTCTACTAAAGACCGCAAGCCATCAAGATGCAGATGGAATTTGGCTCTCACTTGCATATCTGTTCCTTTTTGTTCCTACCCATGTGTTCAGAAAAAGAATGGTTTACTTTCCAAGGGAAGTAACTCTGTTTACATATTTACATATTTGTGCCTTGGTTATACAAATATGGTTCCATTTCAGGTAATGGAACAATAGATTTCCCTGAATTTCTGACAATGATGGCCAGAAAGATGAAGGATACCGACTCAGAGGAGGAAATTAGAGAAGCATTCCGAGTGTTCGACAAGGATGGCAACGGTTTCATCAGTGCAGCTGAGTTGAGGCATGTCATGACAAACTTGGGCGAGAAGTTGACGGACGAGGAAGTAGATGAAATGATCAGGGAAGCAGACATTGATGGTGACGGACAAGTAAATTATGAGGGTACGTTCCAGATAGAAGGAAAAATACATTTAGTTTCATAATTTAATATAAACAACAACATTGATATCAAGTAAACCAAAATGTGTTCGAAACTAAAATGTTCTTTGTGAACTGCTCAATTTCTTGAAAGAAGTTGCTTTTTCTGGACTTTTCATCAATTATTGTAGTTTGTAAATAGTTTTACAAATTTTAACATATAAATGATATGCAGGTTCATCATCAACAGTTAACATGTAGTCAGATGGTATAGGACTGGGCTACAGATAAGGGGCGTACAGCCGTAATGTACGCCTAAAAGTCAATGACGTACGACATGATATAAGATTTCAAGCGTATCGTGTACGCACATAAATACCTTTGTACGTCTAACATATATAAAGTTTAACAGCTGAAAAGTTGTTGAATATTATAAATAACAAACCACATCACCGGTTCGCTCACACAAAAGCATGTAAGTACTCCTTCAAAATTATCAGTACACCTCCACTTGCAATATGAGGTGCAAGTACACCCACACCCTCAAAAGTTATCTGAAGCCCTGTAGGATACTGCAGTATAGCTGGAATAGAGCTGAGTGCTGCATTATACTACAAACAGGGACAAGTGTCATTATTTATTCCTTTGTACAGAACAATATATAACTTCTATTTCTCTTTGTATTTCAGAGTTTGTTACCATGATGACATCCAAGTAACGTGGGGACTGTAAGATGAGCTTACATTCATTTCCTTTCTCTAAGTGTACTCATTGGTCTATCTCATCACCTAACTGGGTTGAGTACAGGGCGATCTGCCTGTACAGAGAACAGCAAAGGAAATGTGCATCAGTCAGTCTGATGGACAGACTGACAGCTAATTTCGAACATGGTCTGTCTCCAGTTTTAGGTTGAGATTGTACAGTTTTGTAATATACTACCAATTGGTCATGTTAAAGGGGCTAGAGTTACCTCCCCCTACCATTTATTGTATCTAGAGTTATCTTCCCTTGAAGTTTCATCAGTAGTTTGTCTATGTATTGAAAAATCTTTTAATTCTGTAGAAATCAACATTATCCCATGGATTGGCTACGATTGGAGAATACCAGTTGTTATGTGCTCTTTGAGACCTCATGTTAGCGAACGTACAGCATTGCTCACTCTGCTCACTCGCTTACCATCAAACATGTTTCCATCTTAGATCACGTGTCACGTTGTCACGGTTACGACATGTGGTGTGATACGAGTAGCTGCAGATTGTGTCACATGGTGGAGACTGGACCAACCAGATATCCCAGCTCATTTTGTGCAGTTTGTCGTTGTGTAGGATCTACGTATCAGAAACGTGGATATTGATTGCTATAAATGGCAAAATAATATCTTTAACAACACTGAAACCATTCCATGAGTAAGTTGAACTGGTGTGTACTTGGAAATATGAAGAAAATGTAAAGGTTAAAAAAAAAAGATTGTAAAATCACTGAAATAGACCAAAAAACATATTTGTTGATAGTGCCATGTGTGAATGTTCGACATTGTGGATTGAGCTTCACATGGGCATAGCCTTTGTTCATCTGTGTTTGCTTGGGATTGCTGTAGCTTGCAGGACCAAAACTCCATACAGGGAGGTCTCACTCAAGTCATAGGGGGAGAGGGAGGTAGCATCTCCCTACAGGGAGGTCCCACTCAAGTCACGGGGGAGAGGGAGGTACTGTAACAGTTTCACATAATTGGGGACACAGCCTCTTCAAAGCTGTCCTTTGTATTAGGAATGTTATCCCCTGATCAAGGTTAGTGCCTAGTAATCTAAGGGAGGCAACTCCCTGTCCCCGCCCGGTCCATGCAAGGGCAGCCCTTACCAGGTCAGGTAACTTGATCCTAGCCAATTCATGGACGCCTGTCTCCTGTATGTTGCAAGTAGGATGGCCAGCTGGTGTTGACTGCTGGCTGGCCGGCTGTTGTAGGTGCTTCTTTCTCTGCTCCTGTTCCTCCTCCACCTATCACCTTGCCTCATTCTTTGGTCACCCAGCACCTCTTCCTCCCCCGTCGTCACATACAGCATCTTCTGTGACTAGTTGACATTGATGTTGACAACCACTCCACAATGCCTCGTTTCCAAAGGAAGATGTACATTTTATTTCTGCCTTTTGATCAGATTTTTCTTATCTATGTTCTTTTAAAATGCATTTGATTATTATATCATGGATCTCATTGTCTCATAAACATTGTAAATCCACAGTTCCGTGTGTTTGTTCTTTGTATGTTACAAACTGAAATATCTTGGTGAAAGTGGAAACATCCGTCAAGCCTGGGACACGCAGGTTTTATTGACCATCATAAATCGCTTTCATCTGGAAGGAGTGTGCGAGTATGGTTTTACTCCGCTTTTAGCAATGTTCCAGCAATATCACAGCGGGGGACATCAGAAATAGGATTCACACATTTACCCCATGTAGGGAATCAAACTCGGGGCTTCGGTGTGATGAGCAAACACTTTAACCACAAGGCCATTCCACCGCTCATCTGGAAGGAACTTTACAACTGTATTTGAAATGCTCCTGTTCTACATACTGGAGGGTTGTATTCTGTCAAATATGTTGTTTAATGCCACACTCGTCACTATGGACTGACTGAGTTTGGTTTTACGCCGCTTTTAGCAATATTCCAGTAACATCACGGCGGGAGACACCAGAAATGGGCTTCACACATTGTGCCCATGTTGGGATTCGAATCCGGGTCTTCGGGGTGACGAGCCAACGCTTTAACCATTAGGCTACCCCACCGCCCCCAGCACTATGGAAGCAGTCTGTATATAATCAAATCTGGACAAGACAATCCAGTGCTCAACATCATGAGCATTGATCTGTGCAGTTGGAATGACATAGTCAACCAAGTGATGAGCCTAACCACCTGACCCCCTTGGTTGTCTCTTGTGACATGTATGGGTTGCTGAAGATAAATGTTAACCTGGATATTCTTGGGCCTGTCTTTAATGACTTCATACTGATATTAAATGTTACACTAAATGCAGGCTACACTCTGACACGTTGTCTTAACTCATATTCCTCTATTTCAACTGAAATGGTTTGGTTACATTTATAGTTGCATCTTGAGAGAAAATGTTGAAACGTCTTGTAAATGAACACTGTCAATGACAACAATTATAGAAACAGACAGCTCATCATTGTTGCACATTGGGAATTCGGGAGTGTCCATAAACACTTTCAGACGAGAATATATTTTTTTTATTAAAGCAAATCGTTTAATTTTCTCCAAATACACACATTAGGGTCTTTACAACCTCAGCTCCAGTAACATTATGTCTGACCAAATATTCCAAGCTGTCAAATGGCGTTTTGGGTTGCTAAACTGAATCGTCTGCTCAAATTGTAAGGAAAGGGAGACAATCAGTTAAATGAAGACAAATGAAAATGTTCCCGTGAGTTCCAAACATCAAGACCACAAGATACAATCATTTCAATAATATGACTTACTTAGATAACGTCAACCAATTTTGGAAAATACTATTATCCATGCGGACATTCCACAATAAACGTCGTCAGTAAAGGGGCGGAAACAGCTTTTTGAGAAGGGGTGGGGGTGCACAGTTCATTTTCACGAGACTTTCATTGGTCATGTGTATAAAAATATGTATTTAGCCAACATGTATGGGAATTAACTGCGCACATAGTCTTCGAGTTATCCGAGGTTCGATTCAACCGAAGAATAAGTTGATAAGATAATACAAAGGGACCAGTTAAGCTTTTTACTTCGTTACAACCGGAAGTTACACACAACGGGCTGTATGCATGGTTTCACCATGAGAGATATTCGACTGAAAATTACCATTATGTTAATGGATCGCACTTGTAGAAACCCTTAATGCATTGTTTGTAGGCGGGCGTTTAGCCAGTGACTGTAAATTATGGGCCGAGTGGCCTACATATCCGTATGTACATAATTCATATGTGTCCATGCATTTGAGCTTCAGCAACAGAATGACTAATCTATATGTATTGCATCACTACGTCCGTCACAGTTGATGAGAAGCGACAAGGTCGCCTTCAGAGCGCATGAATAGTTTATTTGACTGTAGTACACCGAGGTCATAGCTGTTTCTCAAGTACAGGAAACAGATGTCGGGTTACAATTATCATCGATTCCTTGTTATCAATGAGGTATTTTCAATTATTTGAAATAAGGTTATGGTGTTGGTATTAGGAATGAAGTTATAGTAAAGTGAGTGTGGATTTAAAGGGGCACTGATCCAGAGCGATTAATGTTTCACGTCAACAATCGACTAGCTTCCAGGTGGTCAGTCCCTACTCCCTCGACCATGACGGACACTGGGATTGGGCAACTGTCCACCTTGGCTGAATTTCTTCACCCAAAAGAATGGAACAATAAGAACGGTGGATGCCCATCAGATTGCGTCGTTTAAAAATACCCCCGGTAGTTCTTGTGTGATTGTTATGAAGTATCCCAGCAGTGAAGGCTTTTTCGTATGTTTTGATGCGTGGATGGTATGATGACTGATCCAATTTGATTATATTTCTGTGGGTTTTTTTACCTCGATATTAATCGTGCCATGTAACACTATAATGTCTATTGACTATGATATTTAAAACACACATTTGATTTATTTGATTCCGAAACTTAACTCAACCCCACCATTCCTGGATCCGCCTGTGCCCACTTTGCCATTACTAGGAAAATCTGAAAACTCACTTAGGTAAATAGGTATATACAGTTTTTTACTTTTGTACACAGCAAATACTTAAATGTATTTCTTACCCTCAAAACAGCGCCGATCCCTATTTTCTTTAGGCAATTAAAATTGCATGCAATACAGCGATTACTACAACCTTGCTGTAACCCGTGTTTGGTGGTAAACCTACACCTGTTTATTTGTCATCATTCACTTGATGATCAGTTAATAAATTTGTAATAGGTATAATTAGTGGTAACACCACTCAGATTACCTGACAGAGGTTCCCATTTAGCATTTCTCGTTGGTAAATACTCAACGTTATAAATTAAGGTTTGATGTGGCAAATGTATTACATGATAAGTAATATGCGTATATAGTGCATCAAGCATCAGCTGAGTTTAAAAAAACGCCAATTAAAGGATTAACCGATAACACGCTGACTGATTAATTACTTTGATCTTGAACAGCGGATTTATCAAAATGTAGTGTTTATGTTTGTATGTATCATCAGGTAATTAGTGTCACGTAGGCCAACTGGCCGAGTGATGTTTTTAATGTAACTTCATAATATGTCTATATATTTTGTTCTTCTTCGTTGATTGATTGCTCATTGTTGTTTAACTAAATTACTTTAAAAAAAGTGGACATCATGCAAATAGTTGTCAGGTGTGCCATCTTGGGTGACCAATGAGACTCAGGGGTGGAAATAACTTTAAAATTGCTAGTGTACTCCGGTACAGTGACACATGTAAAATCACTTTCCCTGATAATGTTTCCACTATATCGGCCGTTTTCTTGTTGATTTTTATTAAATAAACAACATAATTAATATTGGAAAGTCAACTGGACACCGGTACAGTGTGGTATACAAATTTGCTTACCCGACAGAAAAAAACACTGGACTCGGACGTCGGGCAATGGGTTATTTCCACCCCTGAGACTAATGAGATGCTAATCCACACCGAAACGTCGCATCGATTGCAATAAAGAATTTGTCTGTCCATAAAAACCGTTCCTGTTATCACTAGTTATAACGATTTATACATCTTTTGCATATTAGACTGTTAAAAGACGCATGGAATGCAACAGGTTTCTTTGTCACCTGCAGATGAATGGTATATTGTTCCTTATGTGGATACTGATGGAAACATTCCTTGAACAAGGTAACGGCCTGATATTATTGCTCTAAATTTAGTCGGTTTTAATTTTATTATTTGTATTTTGTATTTATTCATTTGTTGTAGCATCCAACTGAATCATTACACTTCATTTTTTTCGCCGTGAAGTGCGATGAGACCGACAACATACACTGTCAAGGTGTGTGTGAAATATGATACACGTTGGCAATCTATAAAATGTCTAGATATTGCAGTCATGTTATAAATTCACTAAATACAGATCGTGTACTTTTTATGAAGTTCCGAAATGCATAAAATATTTTAATACATTAATTAGGATGATAAGACAAATATATAAAGACGTACATTGACTGCGGAGTTTTTTTTCAGTCCTAACATATTTTACCACTGGCAGATGAAGTTCAACATCAAACTGGTTTCATTTGTTATCATAATAATGAACATGGAAATATTAATAAGTAAAAAACATATCATCTTTGTTGATCAATGTCAAGTTATACATATCATACATATACATAATAATGAACATGGAAATATTAATAAGTAAAAAAGATATCATCTTTGTTGATCAATGTCAGGTTATACATATCATTCATATACTACAAACTGCGCTTGCGGGTGACGCAGCAGAGATCGCAACCCAGTCAAGAATTCCGGGATATTATCCGGGTACTCGCGGGGGTAACACAATAACAAAAGCAACAACCAGTCCCAGTGAAAAGCTCTAGATCAGGGTCCCTTTAAGTCGCTTTTAGCAATTGTCAAGCAATATCAGGGCAGTTGACATTTGACATGGGCTTCGCACATTGTACCTATTTGGGAAATCGAACCTGGCGAGCGGGCACTTGAACCACTCGGTAATCTTACCGCCCCAGTTTTTGTATGGGTTCTCGTCGATGTCCCCGCTGACGATGGTCTGCATGTTATCGAATCTAGACCAGACAATCCAGTGACTGACATCATGAGCATCAATCGAATGACAACCATCGTATTTTCATTGGTTTAACGTAACCATAATATAAGGATATTACTTTAATGCTTTTAGTGAATGCATCGTATATCGAAACGGTCATAATGTACATATAATAATACTACTTTATTGCCCGACAAAGGAATTCCTTTTACAACAGTGAGGCATACAGCATGGTTAAAACAAATTAAGCAAAGAACAACGATCACCTTAAACACACAGATAAACATATGTAAAAATGTCAAATCATTTACTCTTTATAAACAACAGATATGTTCAATTATAGTGACTGTTTGTTTCTCAACCCATATATTTGTTGTTCAATACTTTGATATATACGACCAGATATATAGGTGGAACAAGTTTTTCGTTGTTGTTTTGGTTTAAGGTTTGTTGGTAAGCAGTTAGTTTTGATTTA